CTCTCTCTTTCACTCTCATTCTCTACGTTACTCTCTCTCCCTCCGTCTCGCTCTTTCTCTCCCTCTCATCCTCCTTCCCTGTCTTTTACTTGCTCTCTCTCTGATTCTCTCTCACTCTCCAACTCACTCTCAGTGTCTCACTCTTTATTTTACTGTCTCTTTTTCTTTCTATCTCCCTGTGTCTTTCTCCTGTTCTGTCTTTATCATTCTCACTTTCTTTCCGTTTCATTCTCGCTCCGTCTCCCTCCTTGTCCCTCTCCCTCTCTCCCCCTCCCTTTCTGCCCTCTCTTTCTCCATCTCTTCCTATCCCTCTCTCTCTCTCTCTGTCTCTCGGTGGTGGGAGTAGTTGGGGAGAAAGTTGGGTGGTGCCTTTGAGAGGCAGCGGGGAGGCCATTCCCTCTCTCTGATAACCCGCTGGTCTCCCTCAGGTTGTCTCCGCGGCGATCTGTCGGTGACCCAGGAGCCCCGCCTGTGTGCGGCCTTAAAGGGGCAGTCCGCCTTGTTGGGATGTGGTTACACGGCCGACGGGGATGAGAAGGTTTTGCGGAGCGTGTTCTACTGGGCGCTGAGGGACCCCGGGCAGGACCCGACCGTGATCCACCCAGACCCACCCCCCCGTTACCGGGAACGGCTGGGGTTCGTCAGAGCCAGTGGGGGCGGGGGTTCCAGCCTCAGGGTTGGCCCCCTCCATCTGAATGACACCGCGACCTATTACTGTTACATCTCCTTCCTGGTCGGGGAGCAGAGTATCACCCAGTCGGGACCCGGGAGCCAACTCTTCGTCTACGGTAGGTGGCTCTCCCCTCTTCCCTCTCCTCCCCCTCCCCTCTCCACCCCCTGTACCCCCTCCCACCCCCCCACATCACTCCCCTCTCCCGGGGTGACCCGCAAAGCCTCACACAGTCCGAGGGTAATTCCCTTCACCACTGGGCGTTGGGATCTTCCCATTCCTCCGGCACAGCCCCTCCCCCGCCCATTGGGGGGGAGGGGGGCGTTTGGGTCCCTCAGTTTCTGCGACAGTGGTTGGGGGGGGGGTGGGAGAAGGAACCCATTCGATGGGCACAATGGCCTCCCCCTTTCAACCTGCTTCCCGCGACGTGGTGCCAGGTGGGGCAGGGTGGTGGGTAGGGGTTTTCTTTTTGTGTCTGAATCGCGCGTTCGGTACCGGTGCCTCTCCCCGTCCCCGGGGCCTGGGGTCACGTTAGAAACGGAGAAGGGCAGGAGCAGGCCCTTCAGCACCCCCCCCCCCGGCCCCTGCTCTCCCATTCGGTTGGCCGGGGGGGGGGGGGGGGGTTCATCAATAGCCTCACCCCCCCAGTCTCTCGATGTGATCCCTTTATCCCTAAGAACTGTATGGGGCACTCAATGCCCCAGCTCTGACCGCTTTCTGTGACAGAGAATCCCAACGCGCTCCCCCACTCTCTGGGTGAAGACGCTTCTCCCTCATCTAGACTGTGACCCCCCCCCCCCAGGTCTTGGGCACCCCCCCCCCCGCCACCCCCAGCCCCACCGCCCCATCCTTCCTGCGTTGACCCTGTTGCAATTTTCTCGGTTTCTGCGAAACCCCAGTGAACGTGCAGTGGTCGGGTCACACAGCACGGAAACAGACCCTTCGGCCCAGCCACACCCACAGACTTGCTCCCACCGCCCTCCCCCTCCCCCCCCAACCCATGAAGGTAAAGGCCAAAACCTGGCCATTCAGCCCATCCAGCCGTTCACAGAATCCTGCCTGCTGTGCCCACTGGGTTCGGGAGGGTGGGGGGTCAGGGTGCGGGGCTGTCGGAGGGGACAGCGGACAATGTGGCACGCCTCCCACAATCCCTGTGTTTGCCCCCTCACCCCACACAGAGCCCCTGGTGCTGACAGCCCAGAGGGACTGCATGTGCAACATCCAGTGTGAAACGCGGGTGGGAAACCGGAGCGCGGTGCGGATCGCCTGGTTCCGGGGTGGGGTTCCGGTCCAGGAGGAAGAGACGGCGAGGACTTCGCTGGACCCAGGAGAGGGAGATGCCCATCGAGTGGTGAGCAGGCTCACTCTGTTCCCACTTGACTCGGGGTCACGGGTCAACTACACGTGTGTTTTACAACACAGCGAGGCTGGCATCATCGACTGGCAGGAGCACATCTTTCACACGGGTAAGACCCTCTACCCACCCCACACCACAACACATTACAGCCCAGTCCCAGGGTCAGTGCTGAGGGAGCGGGCACTGTCGGAGGGTCAGTGCTGAGGGAGCGGCACTGTCGGAGGGTCAGTGCTGAGGGAGTGGGCACTGTCGGAGGGTCAGTGCTGAGGGAGTGGGCACTGTCGGAGGGTCAGTGCTGAGGGAGTGGGCACTGTCGGAGGGTCAGTGCTGAGGGAGTGGGCACTGT